AGTGCCGCGAGTGGTTGGGCATGCTAGACCACATGTTTCACCACCGCCTCTTTGGTACGCCACCTGGTTGTGCCTGCAATGTGCTGTCTGTTGTGTGTGTGTGTGTACCTTGGTGTGCTGTTAAACACCTCCTATACGCCCCGATCGCCCCTCTCACTGCTCTGCTCTCCCATCCTGGCAGGTGTGTGCTTCAAGGCGTGCGAGAGGGAGCTACCATTGTTTCTCCACACCATGGATACCAACCACGGGAACATGAGCTTCCACAAGTCGCTCTCGCTCATGCTCCAGTCAACTGACTACATGGGAGCGTACCCGAACCTTGTGCAGCTGTGGCAGGCCGTAGCTGTGCTCCCCCTCAGCACGGTGGAGTGCGAGCGTGGCTTCAGTCGCCAGAATCGTATCAAGACGTGGAAGCGGACCTGCCTGGGCGACGCCAAACTGGGCGATCTGATGACTGCAGCTCTCCTGCCCAGTGATGGTCTGAACTGGGTGAATGTGGTAGCCGTGTTCAATGTTAGGAAGAAGCGCCGTCCTGCCCAGGAGTTTCGGTATTGACTTGTGCTGCTCTGCTCCCTGCTACGAGTACCGTCATACCCCGGATATAAGCGCCACCCGCGGATAAGTGCCTGGCGCTTTTAATTGGCGTGTGGCGCTTATATCCGGTGCTCAATTATAAGCGCATACCTAAAAGGCTTACGGATTATAACCGCATACCTGTGCCTTACATTTTATAACCGCCACCCAGTTTTTTTCTTTTTTTTTTTTCATTTGAAGACCTATTACATAATTAGTATATTAAAACATCATGTTAATTACTCTACAACTACTCAATCTACTCCTACCTACGAGCCTCACACAGGCTTCACCATTTTCTACACTAGTTAATCTACCCTACTCTAATCATCAGCTGCAGTGGGGTCATCTGGGTCGGCCTCAGAGTCCGACTCAGGTTCCTCTACGTTGTTGCAGAAGAAACCGTGTGCTGCAATTTCATCAACCATGTCGACCTCCTCGCCCTCGAGCTCGTCTCGCCTGTGTTGCAGGCAGAGCTTGTCCTGGGACCCATCCAGGGCGTTGCTGATGACGCAGGTGAGGAACGCCCGTTGAATGAGCTCCTTGGGCACGGACTTCCAGGCCGCCGAGATCCACTTGAGCGTCAGCTCGACAGGAGGCTTCTTGATGTTGCCCGCCACGCAAATCCAGAAACCGGGTCAGCACGGGTTAAAGAAATAAAAACATACAGAAGAGCTGCACCTCTCACCTTTCTTCGTCAAGGTGTCGACCCCCTCACGCTCAAACCACTCCTGGTAGAGCTGGCGAACGGCGGCCTTGAAGGAGCGGTTAACCGCGACGTCGAGGGGTTGAATCTCCGAGGTGCAGCCAGCAGGGATAACCGCAGGGACCAGGTTCAGCTCGCCAAACTTTTTCTTCACCTCCGGGGTCAGGTGCCCGCGGTACGAATCGAGGACGAGCAGAGCTTTGCGGGGGCGGACTCCGAACTTGGGGTTGATGTACGGCTTCACCGCCCCGTCCAGCCACTCGATGACACCGCCCGCGTCCATCCACCCGTTGGGATGGACCCCCACGTGGATATCTGCACAGCAACAAAACCACGATGTTAGTTAAAATTTTTAACTGACATCGACATGCCACCGCATAATCGACGTGTGGTGCATACCTGAAGGGAAATCTCCTTTGGGGACGGTCTTCCTTTTGAAGAAGACCCAATGCTTCAACTTCTCCCCGCTGGCGGTGCAGGCGAGCATCACTGTAACCCGCTCTTTCTGGTACCCGCCGCTGCGGACGGGCACGGAGCGCGAGCCAACCTCTTCAACGGTGCGTTCGGATGGCATCTCGAGCCAGAGGGGCGTCTGGTCCGCGTTTAGAATCCACGGCAGGTCGATCTTGTACTGCCGGCGGGAGTGATGCACGTACGTCCAGAAGTTCTTGACTTCAGTCTCGCAGTCTGGGACACGAGATGGGAGGAACAGAAAGCACAAACACAGAGTGAGAGCCGTGAATAGACGGGAACAGACAAACAACAATACCACCAAATAACAACTCACTGGACGAGAGCTTCTGGCCGACCTGGGTCTTTGCTCTGGTCGTCAGGTTCCAGCGGCGGCGAAAGCGCTGAGTCCACCGCTGAGAGCCGGCCCACTTTTCACCTGGGTGTAACTCTTTCATCACCTCGTGCGACCACTTCTGCAGTCGTGCGATCGAGACGGCAAGGCACTTCTTGCGGTGGGCGAGAAACCTCCGGTACACCTCCGCTTCCATGTCGCGATACCACGAGCTCCTTCCGCGGTCGTGCAGGCGACAGCGTGCACCGTGCGCGCCCTCAAGCTCACCCTTGCGGTTCTTCCACTCCGTGAGGCACCTTCGGGAGATGCCGGATTCGCGAGACATGCGCCGCACACTCATCTCTCCGGCTTCGAGCTTCAGAAGCCATTGCAGCTTCTCATGCGACGTGTAGGAATTGCGCCTGTGCTTTGTCGGCTTGTGCCTGGGGGAGGGAGGACGGGCATCACGATTATCGCGAGATGGGTGGGGCCTTTTTTTATTCGGAGGGGGAAAGGAGGGAATTTGAAGGTGCTCGGGGAGACCGTCAGCAGCCCAGAACTCCACGTCGTCGTCCGCACCGGTAGCGGATTCGTCCAACGGGCAATCAGCCGGCGCTCCCCATCGTGGCTCCGGTGCGGAGGAAGATCCTTCGCCGCCGCTGCGTTCAGGCTCGGACAGGAAGGCGTCGAACGCCGAGTAGCCAGGGGGGAGGAGAAGCTGCAGAACCCCCTGTCGTGGAACAACAACAGCAGGCGGGACGGGAGGGGCCGGAGGAACGGGAGGAATAGGAGGCGCCGGGGGAGCGGGAGGGGTAGGAGGCGTAGGAGGCGTGGGAGGAACGGGAGGCACTACTGGTTGTGGTGGAGGGACGGGCGCAGGGCGCGTCTGCCATCGAGAGTAGTCACGAGTGTCTCTGCGGGTATTTTCTCTAGCAGCAGGTTGGCGGCGGAACAAGAAATGCGTGCCTGGAAGGCCCGCCATGGCCACGGCAGGCCAAACGAACGAAGAAAACTGAACCAAAAGTTGGGAATGAGGGCCGTATGAAGCCCTCGCCCGAGACCCTTCAGTTTCGCGGCCCGGCCTCCTCTGCGGGGATAGTGTGGCTACAGTCAAGATTCCCCGCAGAGGAGCTGAAAGGGACAGCTCTTTGCCTCGGTGGCAGGGAATCTTGCTGTTGATGGGCACGTCGTGGCTGAACCACGACGTGCCCACGATCGCATGCAACCCTGATTGGGCCGCTGTGATGCGAAGTACGTGTGCCCTGGCATGGGCCAGGTTCACGTTCGATGAACCTGGCCTGGCCAACAAGGCATGGAAGGCGTGATGCCACGCCTTGTTGGCCGTTTCACGCGCAAAGCATGCACAGAGTCGAACGTTCTCGACTCAGGTGAATCCGCCTTTGAGAATGCTTCGATTTGGTATATTTAAAAACCAATTTCATTTTTGACATAACATAAACGCCGGCGCTTATAATTTTACTATATTATAAGCCCACCCCCTAAAAAAAACATGTTTTATTAGTGCCCCCCATGGGGGTATATCCGGGGTATGACGGTATTCTGCTGGAACCGGACCAGGCCAGACCATCCCATATGTAGGTCGTGTTGTTCTAGTTCTAGTCATATATTTTATTGTTCTTTGCACGTCATGTCAACCTAAACATTAAGCGTTGGTTAAAAAAAAATGGTACAACTAACCGAGGTCCACAGTACACTGACGAGCAGTAACAATGCAGCCAACACTGATACACAAGACTGACATGGCTGCCCCACCCTTACTGAAAGACCAGCTTTGGCAACCTGCCCTTTCGACTAAGAGTGCTTCCAAACCTATCCAGAGGCCTGGTGGTATGTCACAGTGTGGTATGTCATAGTGTGGTATGTCACAGTGTGGTATGTCACAGTGTGGTATGTCACAGTGTGGCATATCACAGTGTGGTATGTCACAGTGTGGTATGTCAAAGTGTGGGGTGTCATAGTGTGGTATGGTGTGCGGACATATGCCATGGTGTGGCAAGCCATGGTATGACATCTGCAGACTGGCAGCAGCTGGAGGCAAGAAGCGAAGACAATGGAAGGCAAGCAAGATCGGATGGGAGGGAAGTAGAGAGCTGGCGGCCAAGGAGTAGAGGTGGATGGCTTGTGACTTGTAGGGATGTGTCTTTTGGCCGTGTTGAATCTAAATGTGTTCAGAGCACAGGCCGTGCTCTGGCTTAGTCTGTCTGACTGAATCAGTTAATAAAATAGTACTTACCATATCTTTGTGGCATAACCGTACCCAATTGCTATTGCCATCCGCCAGTGCATATTTGGCACATGAATTACAGCGAGGACTGAAAATGGAGATCTGCAACTTGGGCTGCGGGCTTTAACCTACAATAAAAATGTCATTCTAAAGGCTTCACTTTTTGGTGGTACACTTATTTGAACAAATTGTGGCAAATATTAAAGCCAGGATCTCAAGTAAGAGAATTGGCCTTCAATTGCAAAACACTTGCAGCGCTTGTTACCCTATTTTTGTAGGCGAATTGACTGGCTGGTTAGGAAAGTGAGCGTGCGGCACACCCACGATTTTGCCCCTAGAGCAAATGCAAAACATTTTGCTGGTACATGAGATTGTTGTGTGTGACGAGAAATTGCAGGCATTGGAGCTTCGTCACCGAACCAGTTTCCGAGCCTTGCTTGGTTCGGACTGAATTTGCGATTTGTCTTTACTTCGCACCCCTCGCTTCACACCTCGTCAGATTGTTCACCTCGCTAACCAATCGCAGCCCAGCTCCCCTCACCAACTGCAAAACAATTGAACTACTTGAGATCCTGGCTTTAATGGAGGTCATAGTGCTGCTTCCTTTCACTCCCTCACCATTCGAGCGACATTCAAATGCCTACGTTCCTTGAATCCCAACAGCACACAGCCAGATTCCGATTTCCTTTCCCATGCTGTACTGTCCGCCATACGCAGCTTTTCTCTGCGTCGCCTCGCTGCTCTGTCTGCTTCCAATGGCTCCCATCGACCCGCATTCCAACACGCAAGCCGGCGAGCCGCTCACCACCTTCGTCGACTTCAATCTGACCGTCGATTTCGACAACAAGCAGATCTCAGGAACGGCTCGATTAGTGCTAGACAAACCTGTAAGCCTCACGGGTTAGCTCCATCCCGTGCCTCGCGAATTCCGAGCCTCACGGCTCACGGGCTGTCTTGCGAATCAGTAACAGTTTCTTGTATCATTTCAATTTCCAATTTCGACTTGTCCAAACTCACCGTCATTTCCTTAACTTCCGTTTCCCCGCCTCCAAGCGACTGCGTGCAGGCCACGGGGACGCTGAGCCTGGACTCGCGGGATCTGACCATTCTCGGCGCCACAGACGCAGCCGGCAACGATGGTGAGGATTCCCGTGCGAGCATCTCGCGTTGCAGATGCTTTCCGTTTGCGTGCTGCCGCTGCTGCTGACATGTCATGCTCCCCTTTCCTCCCTCCGTCGCCTCGCGCCCGATAGTGAGGCCGTTCGTCTGCTGCCGTCTCTCCATCTTCCACTATGTCGCACTCGCCTTAGCAAGTCTGCGCGCTTCGTTCGTCGCTGTAGCACTCCCCACCCCCCTCCTCTCTTACGTCGTAAAACGCGACGTTTGCGTCATCGCTATGGCGTTTCATCGCCGCTATCATTTCACACCGTGATGGCATGTCATCACCATACGGCGTGATATCATGACGGCATGTATTCACCATACGGCGTGATATCATGACGGCATGTATTCACCATATGGCATGGTATCATCATGTGGCATGGCATGTGACATGGCATGGTGTCTTGCAGTGCCATTCCAGCTGCATCCACCACATCACGTGCGCGGATCGCTGCTCCAGCTCTCCCTGAACTCCAATGAAGTCACCATCCGTGAGTCATCAACTTCGTGTCATCTGTCTTCCTCTGTGCCTCCCTTGTCTACTCCAATCAACTCACCACTGCACTCGTACGTCTTGGCCTTCTGCGTGCACCTCGGTTGGATCTCTGCTCCCCCACACTACCCCACTTTCCTCCCCCAACACCTGCAGGCTACCACACGGGTGCCAATGCCTCAGCGCTGCAGTGGCTCACACCCGCGCAGACGGCAGGAGGGCAGCACCCATACGTGTTCACGCAGTGCCAGGCCATCCACGCCCGCTCCGTCTTCCCCTGCCAGGACACACCACAAGCACGCATCAAGTACCGTGGTTAGCCCCTTCTCCTGCCAAGGCTCTGAGTGTTTTGATTCACAGGCCGCTCTTGCCTTGACTTGTAAGGCACGTAGAAGTCATCTTATCGCAGTCAGCACGTCCGCTTGCCACGGCCCTGAGCGATCACATTCAGTTCATGCTTTATCCCGTCCATGCCTTCCCTTTGCCCGTGACGTCTTGTTGAACGCTGTTGCCATGTCAGTCGGTCCGTTGTTCCTCGCCATTCACCCCTTCCCCACGCTTTCCCTTCTTCCTCTTCCCCATGGTTATCTCGTTTTCCTTCCCACCAACTCTTCGCCACGTGTGAACATCCACCGCAGCGCGATTGAACATCCCTGCGGGCCTCCACGCAGTTATGAGCGCGCAGCACGTGGCCACAGAGCAGACGGCAGACGCCGGCCGCGTGGAGGAGGTGTTTGAGATGGAGCAGCCCATCCCGCCGTACCTCTTTGCCCTCGCCGTCGGTGACATCGCCTCTAAGACTCTCAGCCCGCGCGTGAAGGTGTATGCCGGTAAGGCGATGATCAGTGCGCTGCTAAGGATGCCGGCCGGGTGGAGGAGGTGTTTCAGCCCATCCCGCCATACCTCTTTGCCCTCGCTGTCGGTGACATTGCCTCTAAGACACTCAGCCCGCGCGTGAAGGTGTATGCTGGTAAGGCGATGATCAGTGCGCTGCTAAGGATGCCGGCCGGGTGGAGGAGGTGTTTCAGCCCATCCCGCCATACCTCTTTGCCCTCGCTGTCGGTGACATTGCCTCTAAGACACTCAGCCCGCGCGTGAAGGTGTATGCTGGTAAGGCGATGATCAGTGCGCTGCTAAGGATGCCGGCCGGGTGGAGGAGATGTTTCAGCCCATCCCGCCATACCTCTTTGCCCTCGCTGTCGGTGACATTGCCTCTAAGACACTCAGCCCGCGCGTGAAGGTGTATGCCGGTAAGACGATATAATGGTGATGGTGGTGGTGATGATGATAATTAGTGTTCTATACCACACAGACAAGTCCCTTTTGCACCTGACAGCCGGCAGCAGTCATGGTGAGACCAACTTTCCCTCTCTCCACTCTCCCTCCTCCCGCTCCCCCTTTCCCAACACTCCTTCCCGTCCAACCCCTCCCTTTCTCTCCCCATCCCTACACGTTTCTCCCTCCCACAGAGCCCTCACAGGTGGAGGCAGCAGCGTATGAGTTCAGCGAAACAGAGGGCAAGATCAAGGCAGCAGAGGCTCTGTTCGGCCCGTACGGTTGGGGCCTCTTTGACCACTCCGTACCTGTCTGCACTTGCCGTCCGTATCCCCTGCCGCAGAGCCATCACAGGTGGAAGCAGCAGCATACGAGTTCAGTGAAACAGAGGATAAGATCAAGGCAGCAGAGGCCCTGTTCGGCCCGTACGGCTGGGGCGATTTCAACCTGCTGCTCATGCCACCCGCTTTCCCCTACGGTGGCATGGAGAACCCTCGCTGCACCTTCCTCACGCCCACACTCCTCGCTGGCGACCGCTCATTGGCCAGCGTGGTAGCGCACGAGCTGGCGCACAGCTGGACTGGTAACCTGGTTACCAACGCGGATTACTCCTCCTTCTGGCTGAACGAGGGGTGGACGGTGTATGCGGAGCGGAGGATTCTGGAAGCAACAGAGGGGGAGGAGAAGGCAAAATTAGATGCGGCGATGGGCTGGTTAGACCTGCAGAAGGGGCTTTCACGCTTCACCTCCGAAACGGGCTCATCCAGCCGTCGATTCACGCAGCTGGATCTGGGCATGAACGATTTGGATGAGATCGATCCAGACGAGGTGTTTTCCGAGGTTCCGTATGAGAAGGGATTTTTCTTCCTCACTCGTCTGGAGAAGGCAGTGGGCCGGCCAGCGTTTGATGCGTTTATCACCAAATACATCAGCAAGTTTGCCTTCCAGTCCATCACCACAGCCACCTTTCTCGAGTTTCTGCAAGCAGAGTTACCCCAAGTGATGGAGAAGGGAGGCGAGAGTTGGGTGGACGTGGAGGAGTGGGTGAGAGGACAAGGAATGCCGGCCGAGGCGGAGAGTATTGTGCCGCAGTCTGCCAAGCTGGCGGCTGTGCAGCGGGCGGCTAGAGGATTTGTTGAGGATCCGCACTCGAAGTTTGGACAGGCAGATGCGAGTGACTGGGGCCCTGATGAGTGGCAGATCTTCCTTGCCGGCCTGCCCAGAACTCTGCCCGTTGAAACTCTCATGCGATTAGACGAGGAGTTTGGATTCTCTAAGGTAAATGCTCATGCTTCTTATTCACCTTCCTGTCTCCCTTCCTCTGTCCCTTCTCCCCTCCCTCTCCTTTTCTCTACTGTCCTCTTTCAATGCCCTGATTGCTGTGCATTTCGTTTTTTATCCCCCACTACTTTACATTCAGATCCCGTCGTTACATTCTCTACGTTCAACGTTCCTAACCCACACCACCACTACCACCTCGTGCCCTTCCATCAGAGCAAGAACGCAGAGATGAGTGTGGGTTTCCTCACAGTGGCAGCGCAGTCAGGAGCAACACAGTTCCATCCTGAGGTGGAGGCAACCCTCATGTCTGTGGGTCGCATGAAGTACCTGCGCCCGCTCTACACTGCGCTGATAAAGGGCGGTGCCAAGGACGTGGCTGAAAGGGTGTTTGAAGCGGCCAAAGCCGGGTATCACCCAGTGGCATTAGCACTTGTCAGTGGTCTGCTGAAGGGGTGAGGGGAGGTGGAGTGGAGGGGATGTGTACAGTGGAAGGATACTTAGTTGCTCAGTTATAGAACTGAGTAAAGATTAGATTCTGAATGTAGCTTTTGAAGGCTACAACACTTATCGTAGCTGCAATGTTTCGCTGTCAAACTTTGTGCCGCAAAGTTTCTTCTAGCGAAGTCGCCCTTATGCAGAGAGGTTTTCTAGCACGTCGCCCGCCCTAAGTCATGGAAGACAAGGAGCTCTGTTTGGTTCCCGAATGCTTGGGGAAATTTCTCTGGGCTGGAACTTCGCGACTCTTCCAGCGAACCAGAACACTGAATCTGGCGATCTCGCCAGCGCACGAGATTTTTGCTACCCGAGAACACCAATCGTTTCGCCGAAATCCACTGATCCAGGAAAAGCATCCTGCCCGCCAAATCACAGAATGTCCATGTCAGCGAGGCGCGTGGCGCCTCTTGCCACTGTACTGTACCTCGCCAAAGATTCTGCTCTTCCGGTGACGGAACTACAGTACAGTAAACCCAATGTGTGCTGCATGCAAGTGAGAGTCTCTCATCAACCAACCAAAACCAGACAAACAAAGCAGACTGCAGGTAGCAGGGTAGGGCAGACGAGAAGAATGCCTCGATTTGGCAGTTGAATCTGCCCCGCCTTTGGACGACGGGCGCTGCTCCCAGTGTCACTCCGTCACCTCCCCCCCTCACCTCCTTACCTCACCTCCTCACCTCCTCCTACCTAACCTCCTCACCCCACCCCACAGACGCCTCTCCACTCATTTTCCATCAAGCTTTTCTCCCTTCGGCTGCTTCTGCTTGCGCTTCTTCTTCGCCCTTTCCCCTCGCATCGCTGTGACCGTACTCGGTCAGCAAGTCGCCATGTGGCTCTGCGCGCCGATTAACGCAGTCAGCAGGTCGCCGTGATCTTGTTTTGTGGATTGAGCTTGCAGCGTCTGTGCTGTGTAGTCAACGACTCGAGGCGTCTTGGAAACGTCGAACATCTAAAACTAGATCACGTGGGTAACGGCAGGTGAACTACCTCGTACTTCTGGACCGCCTCCACTTGTGCGTCGCCAATTGGTGGAACACCGCATTTCGGAACGCCAGCTTGGTGTTTTGCAACTAAGTTTTCTACTCTTATTCATCAGCGCTCCCCATTATTAGCAAACACGGCCGACGCGGAAGTGACGGTTGACGTAAATTCGTCGTCCATTCGAAAGTCAGAAAGTCATAGATCCTCGACGATCCCCGACGATATCAGATCTTATTTAGCCCCGTCGGGTTGCAGATAGATAAGCATAGGGATTAGGCTCCCTTTTTAGATAAGAGAGTTTCTTGGATGGAGGAGAGCGGTGACAATGGGAGCACATGGGAGGCGCGACCTAGCGGCACAAAGAATCATTTTAGCCCGGCTGGTGGCGAAGGCGGAGACGTGGGGTCGCAGACACCCGCAGCTAGCGACGGCTATGCGTCCGATACCAGCCCCGAGGCTCATGGTAGTGGAGGCGGTAAATCCGCGCCAGGAAGCGGTGGCCACTCCAAGGAAAGGAAGAAGGGTAAGCTGTGTAACCATTACACGCGCCGCCAACCGTACGCTGTTTTGCACACCTTATCAAAACCAGAGCTGAGCTCTAGCTTGCTGAGTGAATTGAGTTTGGCCGGGCTGTATGGGTGATGAACAGATAGTGTGTCGTTTCTTGTGAGCAGGAATCCCATGGACGGAGGAGGAGCACCGGTTGTTCCTGGTGGGGTTGTGCAAGCTGGGGAAGGGCGACTGGCGGGGCATCGCGCGGAGCTTCGTGGTGACGCGCACGCCCACGCAGGTAGCGTCGCACGCGCAGAAGTACTTCAACCGCCAGACCAACCTCAACAAGCGCAAGCGCCGCTCCAGCCTCTTCGACATCAACACCGACTCTGTAAGCCATCCAGAATTTCTTCGCGTTCCTCTCGCCGCTCGCCGTTCCCGTTCTCTTTCCTTGTCGTTGCACTGTTTCCCGTCGTCAGCCTCCCACGCTCATCATCGCTTTTTTCCCTGCGTGCGAATTATTTTGTTCCCGCGGTTGCGCGACCCGCAGATTGCGGAGGAGAGGATGGATATGATTCGCTCCGTGAGCACGCCCACCCTCCCCCTCGCGCCCGAAGACGCCAAGTGCAGCGCGCGTGCCGCTCCTACCCGCGATCCACCCAGCCACGCGCATAACCCCCCCTCGTCCGCGTCATCGCCCAAGATTCCGTCCAATCTCCCGTCAGTCAAGCTACCGTCAGTCACGTTACCGTCAGTCACGGCGTCACCGCCACCTCCATACGCGCAGCACGCCGCCCTGCTGGACCTCAACCGCTCGCACTCCTACCCCGTGGTCCCTGGCGCCGGGGATACCCACCTCTCGCGCTCTCTCAGCCGTCCGATGTCCCTCCCATCGCTCACTCCCGCGAATCCCACTGTACATACTCCCGCGGACATGTTGTTCCCCACTGCTGACGTCATCCATCCCTGGCGCATCCCGGGCGTTGCTGACCCATGGGGGACCAGTGGGTACCCCGCAGGAGGCCGCACCTGGCCTCCGCATCATCCTGCTGGGCCCGCGGCCCGTCCAGATGCAGTGTATCCGGCGATGATGATGATGGATCCAGCTGTGAGGCACAGGATGGGGTACGAGATGTTGCTGCGCATGGAGGAGGAGAGGAGGCAGCGCGCGCACGCGGTGGCTGCTGCTAATGCGGATGCTGATGTGGATGTACAAGGCGCTGAGAAGAAGTTTAAGGTGGAGAACGAGGGGGGCATGGGGGTGGAAGGCAGTGTACATAAAGAGCTTCTGCCTTTCAAATTTGTCCCTGGTGCCTCTAGATTGTTTGAATCAATGGTTCCCGGTAGTGGTCCTAATAAGAGTAAACTGGAGGAGGAAGGCGGTGCGTTCAAGGAGGCAGGAGCGACTGCTGCTGCGCAAGCAGATGCAGTGCCTATGAAGCAGTTTCCTCCGCCTTTCTCCCCTCCCCATGGCTTCTACCCGCCCACCTACCATTCCTTCCCTGACCCATCATTCATGTACATGTGGCCTCCCTATCCTCCTCCGCTCAATCCCGGTTGCACCTGGCAGCCTCCCTTCCCTGGTAGTCATTCTAACAGTCCAGCGGGGCCCAGCCGAGTGCTTCGTCCCACGCCCATGCTGGCCACATCGCCCCTCCACGTGCCTGTTGCTGTCAAGGAGAGAGCCGATGGTGTCTCAGAGAAGGGGACGGCTCATAAGCAATTCGAGCTGCAAGGAGACTCCGAGTCCAGTTCCAGGGGGGTAAGTGAGGGGCTGAGGTTAGGGTTAGAGGCGTCTTCGAACCTCGGTTCTTCCAAGCCCTTCACAGTGCTCAGTCTCAGTGCTGCTCCAGGCGCAGCTGATTCTCTACCCCGGAAGACACCTACTACGCTTCAGCTCTTCGATGTGTCCCGCCCTTCAGCGTTTCAGCTCCAGACTGCTTCTTTCAAGGAGAGGTCACAGCCGCGCGGTGCTGGGGGTGTTGGCCATGCTCCGATAAGCGTCTCATAATGCTCCTCCAAAGGCTATGCGACAAAGGCTGTCTCTTGCCAATCTCTTTTCTAGTGGATTGTGTACATAGTGTATAGAATGATTGTTGCTGTGTGGTCTAGCTTTTGTCTTGGCTTGTGTGTAGTCCTTGTATATCATTTATGTACCAGTATATGGTCGTTTCCCAAAAAAAAATTGTGTGTATGCTAGATGGGGTTCAGCCTTCCGCTGATTCGTGGGAAAGCAAGCAACCATGACACGGAAACTCTATCCTCATTGACCAGCGTTACTGCTATGTAATGTCCTCGTCGTAGCCGTCGATCTTTGACAATCAACCAGGTCAACAACAATTGTTTGTATGATAGACGTTCGATGGATATTGGGTGACCTCTGGCAGCCATAACTCCCCCTGACACATCCATGTCGCGTCGCAGCATCGCGTTCCGCATGTCGAACCCAGACTGACCAATCACAAGCGCCTTCCAGCACCTTCTGCCCTATTCGACGTGCAATCCCTACGACCTCGCGCACAACAACGGAACATTCCAGAATGCAGAACCCTCACCGCCAGTCGTGTGGACGACCAGCCTGGCTGGGTTGGGAAGGGAAGGAGAATGTAGCAAAATTGTGAGGAATTCGGTTCTGCCTTGAGGTTGTCACGTCGGCTCAGCTCAGCTGCAACGTAACTGCTGAACTGATCCTGTGAGCTCCACGGCTCCTAGTTGTTTATATAGTCGATACTATCTCAGTTGACTTCGAACTGACTTTTTCGAGCTTGTAGAACGTAGATTGTGCGGTCTCCTCGACTCTTTATTAGGCGCAGCACAAGCTTCCGACTTCACCGCAAATCAGCAATCGTTAGAAGGTTTTCTAGCTGCGCCTGCACGTTGTAGCGTTGAACTTGCAACTTCTTAACCGCTTGAAACAGCAGAGCGTGGCGATGGATGTAAGAGTAGCGCTGTCACTCGGACGGCGGCTCTTGTTTCTCGCTGCCATAATCAGCGTTTTCTCAGCGTCCATCGCTCTAGCAGCATCCGTCACTCAAGAACCGTCTCCTACATTCGGAGCATCAATCCAAGAGGCTCTGAAGGTAGTAACATTTGGAAGAATCCAGCACGACTAAATAATGACGAGGGACTGACAGTGCAGTTCTGTTATTACCATGACCAGTCGACGTTCACAACCTGCGAGCTGCGGGCGCGTCCTTCAAGGGTCGTTTCAGTGAGAACTTGCTAATCGCGTGAGGCTTTGCTACTTCGCTCCCTCCTCTCTCCTGCTCGCAGGACTTCACCCGCCACGTGAGCATTGAAAACCGGTGGCCTACGTCAATGACTCGTGTCAGCAGAGTGGATTTGGAGGACGCCACGTGGCAGCGCGTCCTGCAGTACGACTTCGAGGTGCAACTCGGCGCGCAGCGGAAAGCCTTTTCTCTTTCGGAGCAGCTAAGCCCTCCCGAGTACCTCCTTCCCCACTTGCCGCCTCTCGCCGCGCCCGACGC